CTTTCACCTGTATGTGCATTTGGGCACTCTAAGTTTCGTATACCCTTCCTGTGTATCTTGTCTACTTCCCACATTTATTGAACATAGCTTTAGTAAGCTCCCTGTTCCGAGTCAGGTTCTTGAATGTTCCCCAAGCAAGTAAGGCGGAACATAGAACCTGATAATCGGAATTCATGAAAATGTTATTTGAATGGAATTTTGTACAAGTAATGAAAACATTATAATAATTATCAATGCTTGAATTTCCTGGTTTATTAACACAAACAGCTGCTTATGCAAAATACAATTATCAAATCCTTTATTTAAATACAAGCTGAGATTTTTCTTATTTAATATTACCTAGATCATAATGCTCTAGCAACAAACTAAGTTTTCCTAGATCATAACATATTTATGCTCTAGCAATAAACTAAGTTTCAAATGCAGCTATAAGTTTTAAAACAAGAAGTACTTCGAAAAACGATTTCGATTTATAGTTAGGCGAAGAGAAAGATAAGGCTCTAAAAAACTATTTTAAAAATTTTATTTAAAATAAATTAGAAAACAACTGATCATTTTATGGCATTTGTTTATTTATGTGCATGTGGGCACTCTAATTATGCGGCGAGCCGAAAGTCCTCCCGAGAGGTTGCTGGTAAGGAGAGAAATGTGGAAGATCCTCCGACCTGTCTCTCCGAGGTGCTCTGCATCAAAATCCGCGTCGGAAATTAGCAAAATCTTACTTTCACCTGTATGGTGCTTAAGGGGGCTCATACACCTTAAACCCGTCATGGTCTTCGAATACGTGACTGTTGCAAGAATTGGGATATTTTATTTATTTTTAAAGCAATTACTTCCAACCTTTTTCAGCTAACTACATAATATAGCTTCTTTGGAAACCAGAAACCAAAATGTTTGTGTTGCCACAAATAGTTTTGTAATTTAATCCGCTTTGTGACAAAAGTTTTCGTCATGTTTCCACCTTGCCCACATGATATTTAAAAAATGTCTAATGGTACATACTTGAAATTCGGTGGAATTTTTTATATGGCCCTATTTTCTAACTGAATCAAAAATCGGATGAATATTTTAATATTAAAAAATTTTATGCACGAAAATATTACAGATTTTTTTAATAAAATACATTTTATAAACTCAACTCCAAATAAAAAAAAAAAAAAAATCTGAAATGTTTCAGATTTTAAATTACGCCCAAAGGGGCGTTTTTTAACATTTTGTGTGTTACCTTTCTTTATTAAATATCATGTTCCTCGCACTTAAACCATAAGATCCAGTGCAACAGCAATATCGCAAAATAGTTTTAAAACGAGCATATCTTTAGAATTTCCGATACAGAGACTCACGCGCTGAAGATAAAAATGTTTTTTTTCTGCACAACGTTGCCATTGCTCGCTTTGAAATCCTTGAGTTTGTTAATCAAAAATTCGTCAAAGTTTTAAAAAATAGGAAATCGATCATAAAACAAATTTCAAATTTCAAATTTGGTCTTCCACATGCTCATATTCGTTGGAGGATTACGTTATTCAAAATTCGATGACTCTATGTACCGTTATTTTATGACAATGTGAGAAATATACATACATTTACGCAGATTTTCATTATTTAGTTTCTTCAAATATAATGCAGGACTCTAACATTTTATGGCAACAGTTGGAAAAGTGAACCGACATTTATCCGTCCGACGCAAAATGCCAAAACGAAACTAATAGTCCTTCGGGATTCAAATCCCTTTGGACTAATAAAAATTTATCATGAAATTCTTAGAATTTTTGGTTCACGGTAGTTTCCAAATGGTATAAAATCTATATATTAAATATGGAATTAAATTACGCAACAGAATGTTCTAAATTGTGCGCGCAAGGTGGAAACATGACGAAAGCTTTTGTCACAAAGCGGATTAAATTATAAAACTATTTGTGGCAACACAAACGTTCTGATAACTATTTCAGAAAGCAGTTATATTATGTTGTCAGCTGCGAAACGTTGGACGTAATTTCTTTTAAAATAAGTAAGTTATCCCAATTCTTGCAACAGTCACATATTCGAAGATCTTATAGGTTTTAAGGTGTACGAGACCCCTTAAGGCTGTTGCCGAACGGTGTAGTGTGGTGTATTTAATTATGGCAAAGCACACTAGGGCTATCTGCCTAAGGGGAGGGATGCCTTCGTGGAGGACTTTCTAAGAGAAACTGGCTCGTATTCACGTTACACATGGGGAAAACCACGAAAACACCCATGCAGCCACCCCGTTCGCGGGATTCGAACCTCGGACCGAACTACCAGTGTTCTGCGACTTTACCGCTCGGCTGCTGGTGGGCCTGTTGCCAAACGAGAGGAGCGATCTCGCACTCTGTCACGATGAATTTCTTGGGCTTGTTCTGGTGTTACTGTAAGGCAAGTGAGATAAAAAACAACAACAACTTGTATTTATGTCGAAATTTTAAAATATTGCCAATGCTCAATATTAAATCTATACAAGTATCTCTACAAGTGAAAGTATTGTTTACTGACGAGTACAGTATAGTCTGAACAGTGATTCTAGCCATGTTTTGATCTGGAGAGAAAAAGGAACACGCAACTTGTCTTCCGTTGTCCGTGAAATATTCGGTTTCCGCGACAGCGGTTTAATGGCTTGCGAAGGAATTATTACAAACGGCTGCACCGAGTTGCATATCTTTCAAGTAGGTTCTGTAACCTATCCGAGATATGTAGACGAGGTATTGGAACCCCTAAAGTAGACTATTTATGTGTGTTCTTCGCCCAGAGGTTTTGCGTATGGATGACAATGCTCGGTCTCATCGAGTATATGGTGTCAGAATACTCGCAAGCAAAGATATCACGGAAATGCATTGGCCACCTTACTTACCGGATTTGAACGCGATTGAGCATGTGTGGGATGCCTTAGCTCGCCGAATTTCAGGGCACCAAATTCCTCTCCGAACTCACCAGGAGATGAAAAGTGCACTTTTAGAAGAATGACGTGCAATTCCACAAGATTTGATCAACACTGTCTATGAAATCAAAATGCATATCTATCCGAGGTGACCATACACCATGTTAAAGGTTTTTCCAATAGAAGGTGACTTAATTTTCGCATCATTTTCCAATTTTCATTAATTCGGCTTGAATTCCAAAATTTTTCGAATGATCAACTGCCAAACATTGTAATTTATGTTAACTAATGCTTTTGCACAAATTTCTGTTAATGAGTTTTCATTAAGTATCCATTACGTTTTATTTCTGTCATTATCTTTTCATTTTAATGACTAGTGTATATATGTTATAACCTGTTTTATTGTTGCTGTGTATGGTGTGCTTTACTTATACGAAGAAGTAATTAGAAATTTTAATACATCACTTGAAATTTACTTATGATTTTGGTTTATGCGATTATGGCAAAGCCTCGAGGTTTATCTTCTTAAGGGGAGGGATGCCTTCGTGGAGGACTTTCTAATAAAAACTGGCTCGTATATACGTTACCGATGGGAATAACGACGAAAACGTTCGCATCCAGCCCGTTCGTGGGATTCGAACCTTAGACCAAATCACCAGTGTTCAGCGACTTTACCGCTCGGCCGCTAGTGGGCCTAAATTTCCTTATAAAGATTTCTTATCTCTGTTATATTATCTTTCTATATTTCTTAAAATTTTCTTCTCTCTTCTTCTCTTTTATGAAAGAAAGATTAAACTTAAAAGAAATGGAACATAACTCGTTATATAGAAACCTACGACAATAACTATTTAAAAAGCAGATGGCAGTTTTACCCACAAGAAGATTATAAAAAACCTGGAAGGCAAATTTTTGTTACTGACACCTGTGTTCATTGACTTTCTCCGTTATATTCCCAGTGTGTGTGAGCATGTGATTATGGCAAAGCCTCGAGGGCTATCTGCCTAAGGGGATGGATGCCTTCGTGGAGGACTTTCTAAGGGAAACTGGCTCGTATACACGTTACACATGGGGAAAACCACGAAAACGCCCATGCAGCCAGCCCGTTCGCGGGATTACGTTATATTCCCAGATAGTGTAAGTAGAAACTCTTATCGCCCTTTTTGAAAAATATTCCGGTTAATCTTTGGATTATGTTAACTTGGCGATTTTTTGACGAAAATTTGGCGACCAACCCTGCTACAGCAACCTGCTAGTTTTTGTTTGGACGCCATTTTGTTTTCACGAAGTAAAGGCGTGTTTTTTTTTTTTTTTTTTTTTTTTTTTTTTTTTTTTTTAACTCAACATTTTTTTCCAACAATCTGCTAGCCGAATTACGCTTATGCTAGAACTTTTATGGAACAAAAGTACTTAATCATGACGAAATTGGGAGAAAGTTCAGAATCGCCCACTGCTTGCCGCGTTTTTAAGAATTGCACACACACGGTATCCATGTACACGTCGACCTATTTTCACTTAAAAAAACATCCCAGAATTGCACAAAAATAGCATTGTGCACACTCTTGACTTTATCCATGTACACTGCTGAAGTCCTAGCTAGTAACCTTTATCGCCTTACTAAAATGTCGCCAAACTACCTATTACCATATTTAAAAGATTAGCCATACATTTCTACGCGATTGCTTTTTATTAATTTACGGTTTTCATATGACGCAATCAATTACAAATTTTATTCCGTAAAATTAAAGGGAGTATTGTAGCTTCCTTTGTTTTTTTTTTTTTTTTTTTTCGCTTTTATTGAATAACTTGCTCGAATGAATTTGTAACGGAAAACTGATTTGAAAGAATTGCTAATCATTTTAGGCATAATCGTCACATTCCAGAAATGCAGAAATTAATCAAGTCTAGATTATTTGTTCTTGTTAAACTCTTTGGTATAGCTTAAATAATTCTCCGAGCCATGAAGTTTCATTAGTTACGAGTATTCCATGATCTTCACCCATAACCATGAAATCTAATACCACAACACGTTACGCAATGCCAGCTGTTGGTGACGCAATGGAATTCACAATTCGAGCAGGTGCGCACGCCATCGCCTAAGTTTTAGTTCACTTTTCCAAGCGATATCCGCCTTTTGTGGAATCGACACTTCTACTTTTACTGACTGAAATGAGGTCCGTCATAAATATATTTTAATCGGACACGGCGTTATCACCGTGTTGCAGAGTTCTTTGTGGTGAATTTGCTTGGATAAGAAGCAAGATGAAAGTACTTGTAGCTGTTTACTTAATTTTGATGGTTTGGATGCCACTCTCTAATTGCGGCTCACTCGGAGATTCTTATTTACGTAAGTTTATTTTTAAGGTTATTGCGATATGAAATAAGTTACTCATGAAATAAGTTATAGTAAAAAATAATGTACTCTTGTGTTATCAGGACCGAATCCAGAAATGTATGGATGGATGAATGTGTTCATGTATGCATGTATATAAGTAAGCATGAATGTGTGTGTATGCATATACACATATATGCACGTACATACATACACACGCCCATACATTTCTGAATCCAGTTCGGATAACAGATTAATAATAATAACCGAAGTTTTTATATATTAATTTCTACGTCTACTATGATCGCCATCATAAACATTACGATCATTTGCTGATTTTTTTCTCCTATTTCGAATAACTTACAATTCCCCTTAAAAAAATAAGAATATATTTCTTGCATAATATTAAATAAATCACTAATATAATAATAATAACTTATGGTTTATATATTGATTTCTACGTCCACTATGGTGGCCTACTATGGCACTAAGTTTTATATATTGATTTCTACGTCCACTATGGTGGCCATTATAAACATTATGGTCCTTTGGATAGATTTTTCCCCCTATTTCGAATAACTTATAATTTTCCCTTCAAGAAATAAGATTATACTTTCTGCTTAATATTAAATAAATCACTATGATATTAAATAAATCACTGTATGATATTAAATAAAACGCTGTTATATTAAATAAATCACTGCGATATTAAATAATTCACTAATATACCAAAAATAATAATATTAACTGAAGTTTTATGCAATTCACTAATATACCAAATATAATAATATTAACTGAAGTTTTATGCATTAATTTTTACATCTACTATGATCGTCATAGTAAACATTGCGGTCTTTTTGCCTAATTTTTTTTCCTCTATTTCTAATAACTTACAGTTCCTTTTAAAAGAAATAATATCTTTTCTGCATAATATTAAATGAATCACTGTGTGATGTTAAATAAATCACTAATACAGCAAATAACAACCGAAGTTTTATGCATCAATTTCTACGTCCACTATGATCGCATTACAATTACGGTCCTCTGGCTGATTGTTTTCCTCTATTACGAATAACTTATAGTTCCCTTTGAAAAAAAATAAGAATATATGGCTGTAGTGTAGAATTGGGTGCCCCTTCTATTGGCGACATTTAAAAAAAAATTGTGCCGATAAAACCTCACTTCTGGTTACCACGATAGTTTTAACTTTCCTTTGGCTTCCCGATTTTATTTAAATGAAAATAGATTGATGTGTACATGGACATATTTAAGGCAGTGCGCAATGCCTAGTTTGTGCAATTCTAGGATGTTTTTTTTAAGTAAAAACAGATCGATGTGTATATGGACACAGATCTTATGCAATTCTTCGACTTCTTATTTTGGTTTTGTGTAGCGGCAATCTTGAAATTGTGACTTCCTGGCGCCGATCTTGGCGTCAAAAAAGAATCGCCAATAAACAAGGGGCACCCAATTGTAAACTTTTACCGAATATATTTTCTTTTAAATGTAATTGAATTAAATTTTTATAAAGAAAATTTTAGAATGTAATTCCGGTACTTTTCCGTTTTGCCGGCGCAAGCGATAAAGTCGCCAATAATGGTACAACCGATGCCAAACGGAATATTCTCGCTGGTAATCTTCTACGCATCATTTTCAAAACAAGTCGCAGCTTTTTCTTATCAGATTGATTGTTTCTTTCAATACTGGCATATAGAATACATAGAATTTTTATCAGATAGTTCAGTTTTTATGTCTCTAAGGCCATTTTCGGTAATTAAGTCAATTAGGATGCAATCACAGCGCTTACCCGAAGCCGAAAATATAGAAAAGGTAGAGTCAATGTTAAAATTCATCAGTTCTAATGAGAATGCATTAGCGAAGTAAAGCACTGCAGTTTTTACATAATTTTCTGAGTAGCTATTCGTACGAATTGAAATATTTCTTGCATTTAAACTTGTGTTCCAAATTAAGATTTAACTTGAAATTAATGTAGATAATTACTGAGAGCATTAGATTTTTGTAGAGTAGCTTACGTGAGTTGAGATCGTTTGGGGGTCACGTGATATGAACCGGCGCGAATCAGGATGTTGAACCATGAAAGCAGTAAATTCTTAAATTAATGTCGTTTCACAAATTTATTGTCTTTATTTATTGGCTTTTTATAAAATTTTAAGCGATATTAAAATGTTTATGCCTTCTTTTTTTAAAATAATTCTTAGAACTAACATTTTTTATGTGTATACTGTATGTTGTCGCCAATAAAGTCTGCTTGGCGAGATTTGCGCCGGCGAAACGGAAAAGTACCGTAATTCCTTAGGAATTATTTATTATCTTACGCAAACTTCCTGCGACAAATTTCATATTCAGGTCCAGTTTTCTAGTGTATCGTTTTCACCTGAGCTATTAGGGATTAATTTTTTATGTATCTATGCCATTTAGCCAACTATTTAATCAGTAGGGACTGCTATTTTTTGCTGAGCATTAAATAGCAAATTCAAAATCTTTTTTAATTAAATTAATTGTTTAGCTTTATTTAACGTAGTGAATACGTGGGACATATATGTTCCAGCCTCCAGGAAAAGGATACATAAGGAGCAGAGTGCATTTTGGGGAAGAAAATGGATAAGTGTAATGCACAGTATTTGTTAGGCATCATTTGTCCTTGAATAAACAAATTAGTAATCTTCGGATTATGGTAAGTTGGCGATTTTTTGGCGAAAATTTGGCGACCAATCCTGCTACAGCAACCTGCTTGTGGTTTTTTTTTTTTTTTTTTTTTTTTTTTTTTTTGGACGCCATTTTGTTTTCACGAAGTTAAAGGCTTTTTTTTTTTCTCAACATTTTTTCCAAAAATCTGCTAGCCGAATTACGCTTATGCTAGAACTTTTATGGAACAAAAGTGCTTAATCATGACTAAATTGGGAGAAGGTGCAGAATCGCCCACTGCTTGCCGCGCTTTTAAGAATTGCAGATACACAGTATCCATGTACACGTTGACCTATTTTCACTTAAAAAAACATCCCAGAATTGCACAAAAATAGCATTGCGCACACTCTTGACTTTATCCATGTACACTGCTAAAGTCCTAGCTAGTAACCTTTATCGCCTTACTAAAATGTCGCCAAACTACCTGTTACCATATTCCAAAGTTTAGCCACAAATTTTTTTATAGTAAAGCTTTTTGTTGTCGTTGTGCTTGTTTATTTTTGTTATGTTTAATAGTAGCTCTTTCAAACCCAATTAATCGTTGAGCTGCATAGATTTAAGATAACCATCAAAAGGATTTTTAATTTGCTATCGAAAATTTGATGAATATTTCGTATTTCTTATGTATATGTAATAACATTTTAATTGACAAATTTTTATTGATAAAATTTTTTGAATAAATCAATATTTTTATGAAGAATGCGATATTTGTTCTTGCATGTAAAAACTTGTGCCATTTCTCGCTTAGGGTTCATCGTGTAGTACTTACGTATTAGCATAACTACCTTGGTGCCGTTCAGCGACATTTTACAGAAGAAAAAGGTGATTCGGTGACTTTTAGAATTGCAGTTTATAATGTATGTGGTCATCTAAAGAAATGCTATGCGCGTTGCTAGAGTTTTGCCACTTCTTTGAAAGTGGTTGCGATAATACGAAAGTACCCATCGTGTTTGCGAAAACTTCAGTTATATAGTAAAAAATAACCAACCCGCTTTGTAATACTGAAATATTATTATTTCTTTTCTTACAAAAAATCGATGTATTTATGAAATATTGTAGTATTTTAAAATTATTTCTAGGATAGTTTTTGGTATTACATTGAAACGTACGTGCTGAAATATTGTGGGAGTGTAACACTCCTTATCAACGGATTCAGTAAATTTATTGCTAAAATTCCTTTTGGCACACTCAAATGAGATTATTTTGAATTGTAACTATTGATCCAAGTTATCATAATTAAAGCTGATAATTCAAACACGAAATTTTTTTTAAAAAATGAATTCTGAAAGCTGGGAATTTAATTCTTTTAGCAAAAGTTTCTTGTAATATTTTATTTATTGGTACAACAAAAGAACATCCTATTTTAGTGACATTAATTCTAAGAATTTATACATGTATTTTGATTACCACAATTGTTAATTATTATAGTGCATTAATTGCTACAGTTGTATAAGCTGAGTAAATTTTTTCTACACACATTCACAGTTTTTACACATTTGGATGCTTTAAATAAATGAGACTATAGTTAAAAACTTTGCACTTATTACTTAAATAAAAGAAATGGTACTTACGGAACATCCCGTCGACCATTTTTGCCTATTAAAGAAAAGACGCCAAACTACACGATTTTTCGCCAAAATTGGAAAAGTCTTCTTCAATCCCGCTGGGTTTGGTGTAACCTTGATTACACGTGTTAGTTATTATTCTTGAGTAATGACTCCTTTTTTTTTTTTTTTTCCTGTATCACGCATTTTCGGGAAAAAAAAAAAAAAAAAAAAAAAAAATGGGTTAAAATTGGGACCTGCCTACTACAGAAGAGCATGCTGTCGAATATTTTCAAAGTTATGGAATTTTACCGGCGATTAAATTAAAACCTATCGAAAATAACTGCTTTTACAGTATATCTCCTTAATATAAATTAATGGAAATTTTTTAACGAAAAATTAAATATAAATAAATGATAATACAATAAATAAGAAATTAATAAAATAATTGTATAAGAAATTTGAAAGAAAATTAAGAATAGAACGTTTTTCTTGTATTTACTAAATGGGTTTTTTTGGTTTGTCGCGATTGGCGTCCTCACTTGCGGTCGACAGGATTTTCCGTAAGTACCAAAGAAAGGTAGTATAATCGTATTTCCATCTATCAATCAAATATTTTTACATATAATATTGAATTTAACTATTTTGTAAGGTAAATAGGCTAATAACTTTATTGTGTTGATAATAAATCAAATTTAGGTATATAGTTCTTTCTTCCTCGTTAAAGGAATTTTTGCAAGTTCAGTGTTTGTTTCGCTCAGCAAT